CTCGCGCGCTTTGCGCGCTGAGGAATGCGATGCAGTTGCGACGGCCGCGCGTTCAATTGGACACCGCAACGCAAGTTTCCATTCCCGCGCGCGGGGCGGGGCATGAACTTACAGATGCGCTGACGGTCGAGAACTCGCGCGCGCGCGCCCGCGCCAGCCATGTTGGGCGTGCGCACTGGGCCCGGAAATCAGTGGCTCGGCCGCCCGATGCGCCCCAAAAATCGCTCCGCCCCCCCCCCCGCTTCTCTCCCTTTCAAAACTCTTCCGCGCTCCTGGAATAGCCGTGCCGCCGAGGCGGGAGCTCGGGCCGCGGCCTGATGGTCCCCGGGGCACAGGGGAATCAAAGGATTCAGCACGGAATCAGTGCAAAATCAAAACAGAATCGGCACAATTGCGACCCCTGATTCTAGCGGAATCAAAAGAATCAATACGGAACCAATACGGAATCAAAGGAGGAGTCGGCGATGGGACCAGAATCGACCAGAACGGGGAAGTAGGCCAGAATCGGTGCCAGAACCCCTGGCGAGGTTTTCTTTTCCCGCGGGTTCATTGCGGCGGGTCCGCGGCGCGGGCGCGCCGCGCGACTTCGCTGGTTCAGCGAGGCGCGCAGTCGGCGTTCAGAGTGAACAGGTTGTTTTCAGGGCGATATCCTGGCGGCGCGCTGGCGCATTGGGCATTTGCGTATTCCTGGCGGGCTGTTTGAGGGCGACCCGGCAGCGTCAGCCGAATGGCCCGCAAATGCCGCGCGGCCGATCGCGCGCCCCATGCGGTCACGTCGACAGCCGTGTGCCGCGGCGGCCGCGCGCCCCAGACCGCGCCATTGCAGCGTTGGATTGGGCGGCGCAGCGGCCGCCCTCCAAAAGTCGCCACATGCATATCGCGCGTGTCGAGCCAGCAGCAATCGCTCCCAGAAGCAGCCTTGACAGGCGGCCCGCCCCCGTTGTCGCCCGATTCCGATCCAGATCGTAGTTTCTTAGGATGCGCTCGCGCGAATGTGAGCGCGCGGGCATGTAACGCGCGCGCGCGCTTGGCGCAGCCTGGGGAATCCAACGCGGAGCCCCCGGGGGCGCGGGGCGCCGGCGACGCCTCCGCCCGCTTTCCGCGCGCCCGACCCCCCCTGCAAGCCGACTCCTCCTAGGTCAGTTCGTCACGTTTGATAGCGACGTTTTGCTTGAAGTCGATCGTCGCACCAGAGTGGCCCGGCGCGCCTTCGCGAAGCGCGAGAGAATATTCGCGATTGGGGCAGGTTGCGGGCAAGAAGTTACGATTATTTCGCAAGGTCGTCCTGCGCCTCTGACCTGCGATATTGCACGCTGCACCTCACTTTGGCCCACCACAGAAAAGATTCGGTCTGCCCAAGTCACGATGGGTCGCAGACTACTTCGGGAGACAATGGAGCTCCCGCCCAGCAAGACGAGCAAGACTCACCCCCGACACGAGGTTGCAGGAGGTCCCGAAGCAGGCCCCACGTTGGAGGAGGTGGAGGAGGACTTGCGCCAGATTCAAGGAGGACTCCCCAGGGGATCATCTCGCTTCGCTGGAGTGAAGAGTCTTCGGAATCATCTCCTATGTTCCGTAGGTTCAGTGAGGTGAGATTGCGTTGGTTTAAATCGTACTTTCGATTGGTCTGGGTGCGTGGCACGTTTCAGTATCAGCAGTCCAGGCTCGCCGCCATGCAACGGCGGGGACATAGGTAATCAGCGAACCTGGAAACTGCTGCCGGGTACCAGTGCGACGACCAGATGTTCAAGCCTTGGCGTTTCGAAGATCAGTTCACGTTTCCTTCCCTTGGTCCAGAGCGGCAGGGCATAGCGTCAGACCCCGAGAAGCGGCAATAATTTCGGCAGCACGGGGTGGAAGGACGGCCGGCGCCGTTTCGGAGCGCCTCGACCACTTCTGCGCAGGCCCGCCGCCGCCCGTGTTGATCTTGTGGGCATCTTTCTTTTTTGTACCATTGCCAGCCTCATTTCAAGATTCCCCGGCTTACGCCACGCCGCCGACCCCATGGGGAATTCGCGGTTGCCGCGTTTTGCTTGCGAGGCCTTCTAGGGCGCCTTTTCGGGTCCTTTTGGTTGGCTCTTGGTGTTTTCTGGAGGCCTTCTTGGGGCCTCCACGTCGGCCCAAGGGGATTCGGAAATTGTTGCATCGCTGGGTTCTTGGGGGAAATCTTGGGGCCCGGGAGGGCGTCTGGCAGGCGTTGCGGGTTGCCCCGGCGACGCGCGGGTTCCTAACGCCCCAGAGCGGGAAAAAGGCGTGACAACCATGGTTCCTAACGTCCAAGAGCGGGACACGCGTGGAAACGCGTGGGCCCCTAACGCCCCAGCGCGGGACAGCCGTGAAAACACATGGGTCCCTAACGCCCGAGAGCGGGACATGCGTGAACACACGTGGGTTCCAAACGCTTTGGGTGCTCAGGTGCTCCGCGTGCCCGAAGGGCGCGGGCGGGAGTGGCCCAGCGTTCGAGGACGCGGGGCATTTGACGTCAGACCAGATCAAGAAGTAGCACCAGACGGGCGTCCACCATAGGCCAGTAGCGCGCCGGGCGTGCCACGACGCGCGCAGGGTGGCGAATGAGATTGAATGCTCTGCGCGTGCCTCGTAAAAGGACGGGTCGAAGCCCGCGTTTACAGACGGGGGCCATCTGGACCGAACGAATATTTTTTTCAAGCGGAGCAATCCGGTGGTTTGCGCGAAGTGTTATAGGCGGGGCGGGCGCTGCGGAGAGAATCGCCGAAACGCCCTGCGGAGACGAGCGACGAGCGCGGCGGCAAGCAACGGAAGTTGCGAGGAGTCTGACCGCTGGGCCCGGTATGTGGGCATGAGGCTTGCGCGGCGTTCGCTCGGATCACCCTGGGGAAACTTCTCGCGGGCTTCTCGACGGTAGTCTCGAAGCCTCCTGAGGGCCGTTTTGGGGGCTCTTGGGGCCTCTTGTGGGCCTCTTGGGAGCTTATTGGGGGGCGTCTTGGGAGCCCGCTTGGGCTTCTCTGGGAGCCGTCTTGGGGTCCTTTTCCGGCCGTTTTGGGAGCCTCCTGGGCTGTCTCGGCGCCCGCTCGGGCCGTCTTGGGCGCTTCTTGGGGGCCTCTTCGGACGTATTGGGGTGGTCTTGGGAGCCGATTGGACTGGCTTCACCGCCGTGAAGGCCGAGAAATCTGCATGCTGAGAATGCACGTTTACCCACGGGAAATTAATGATTTTGGCTTCTTCAAGGCCTTCTTCGGGTGCCTCTTCGAGGCCTCTTGGAGCATCTTGGAGGCGCCGCGGGCTTTCTTGAGCCCATCTTGGGGCATCTTGGGGGCGCCACAATCCACGCGGAGGTCATTTTGGGCCGTCGGGTGGCGTCCTGGGACCATTTCGAGGCCACGGAGGAGTCTCTGCAGGATTTCCCGGAGCGGATCCCCACCCCCCCCTCCAAATCGACCGGACCGGGCCCCCGGGGGAGGGGTTTGGGGAGGGAGAATCTGGACGCCCGAAATGGGTATTGAAAGAATGGGTACGATGCCCAACAGCAGCTCTTGTTCATTCTGAATAAGATCCGCTGTCCACGCCGCCGCGGCTTGTGTCCATTCGAGACAGGAGGCCGCCCGCCCAACAGCGGCCGCTGTTGGTTTGGGACAACATTTGCTGTTGGGCATAGTACCCATTTTTCCGGTACTCATTTCGGGCGTCCAAAGGGAAGCATCTCACACGCCGATGAACCCCAAGGGGTTGGCGGATTGTCGTTTGCTGCCCTGCGGGGGCACTCCCCCAACACATCCGACATGCAGTGCCCAACCAACCAACATCCCCCCTCCCCCTCAACCTTCTCGCCTTCCTCCACCATCCCTCCTTCTCACGCCCCCCCTTTTCCCTCCTCTCCCATTGCGTCTCTTCCTCGACCTCGCCCTTTTCGTCCTCCTCCTCCTCCTCTTCCTGGTCCTCCCCCTTCTCCTCCTCCTCCTCCTCCCCCGTTCCTCGTCTTCTCCTTCCCGCTCCCCGGGAACCCCCAGAGGATCCTTGGAGGCCCCCGCAGGCCTCCAGAGGCACACGGAAGAGCCAGGGGCGTCCTGACAACGCTCCCTATCGACAGTTTTCGTCGGCTCCCTCCTCCAATCCTAGAGACCAGTCCCGTGCCGCGCCACGTGCCCAGCGCCCTTCTCGCCCGTCTCCTCCAATCGCTCTCGCCGTCCGGTCTGAGCCGAATCGGGGCGCGCGCGAGCGACAGTTGCCGCCCGCGCGGTCGCCCCCTCTGCAGGGGGCACCAGCGCCTGGCAGGAGCGCGCGCGCGCCGCTCCGAAAATGGTGCCCCCTCCACCTCTCTCCCCTGTGAGGTCCTTGGCATCGCTCGGGCGTGTGCGTTTTTTCCTCGGCGAGGACCATCGAGGAACATCCTTGATCATTTGGCGAAAAACCTCGCACGAAACCGAACAAAAACACAGGGAACGGACGTCCGAGCGCGATGGCCAGGGTCCTCTTCTCACGGAAGGGCGACAATGGATTACTGCGCGTGGTTCAGCGCCGCGCCGCGCTTTAACGCAGGCTTTTCGCGCGCTCCGTCGCCGTCCGAGGCGGGCAACCTCGAGCGGCCGGGGGGCCGAAGCGCACCGCCCCGGGCGCCTTTGCCACAGCTTTGGCACCCCTTGGTGCATGGACAGCTGTGAAACAGCACTGGAGAGACAAGGGGCGGGAAAACCAAGACCATGCAGCAGTCCAGCGAGGAGCTTCGCAGTATTGCACCTCCAATGGGGTCTGCTGGAGACCCTTCGCGCATCCGTGTTGTCGCAATGATCGCGTGCAGCATGTGCTTTGCCCTGCGATTCTGGACCGCCTCCTCGCCACGCTAGGCCCCTTGACAGTTCGTGCTCAGAAAAGTACACGGCGAACCAAAGAAGCAGCGGCCCGCAGCTACGAGGTATCGGTCAACAGTTTGAGGTGTTCCTCTCCAGCCTTCGAGGAAACTTCTGCGGGCGGAGCCGTTTGGGCTGCCGAGCGAGGCTTTCGCCAGTTGGCGGTCCTTTCCTGCGATGCGGCCTGCGGCAACGACCAGCAGAATTGGCGTCGATGGAGGCGGCCGCCGGGACGCCTACGGTCCCGCGCCCCTCGCGCCGCCGACCGTTGCGGGCACCGCCCCGCGCGCGGTTCTCGCGCAGCCGCAGCCGGCCTTCCGTGCCGCCGCGGCCGCGGTGGCAGCGGGCCAGCCTCAGGCAGTAGCCGCCCCGGGCACCTCCACCTTCCGGCCCGTGCCGCCATCGACGTCGCCGGCGGCGTTGCCCCCAGGCGCAGCAGGCCCGGGCGCTGCCCTCGGTGGCGCCTCGCTCGCGTGGCCGCGCGCGCCCGGCTTGGCAGCACCGGGAAGCGTCAGCGCGCCGGGCCCGTCGCCGTATTTGCAGGCGTCCTCGATCGTCGTCGTCGTCGTCGTCGTCGCTGTCCTCGTTGTCGTCGTCGCCGTCGTCGTCGCCGTCGCCGTCGCCGTCGCCGTCGCCGTCGCCGTCGCCGTCGTTTTCGTCGTTCTCGTCGTCGTCGTCGTCGTCGTCGTCGGGGCGCGCGGAAGGAGCAGCTCAGAGCGGGAGGCGGCGGGGCGGGCGGGCGGGAGCGGGGGCGGCATGAGATCGACGGCGACGAAGCAGCGAATAGCCCACGGGCGGAGATCACACGCATTCGTCGGAAAGCCTCGCCGAAGACACGGACTGTCGGCGCCTCTGGATTCATGTTTTGCTCGCCCCTTGGCTATCCACCCCCCCTCGGCGCAGCCGAAGATATGTCCTGGCCCATTGTATCCCCACCTGTTCGCACCATGGTGCCCCTCCCTACCCTCGCTGTCGTCGCGAAGGAGTGCTCTGGGGGGCGCAGGCCTCCCAGATTGCGTCGGACTTCATGGGGTGGGGGGCTCGTGCCGCACAGCCGATGCATCGGAGAGGCGACTCGATGTGGAGCCCAAATTTCTTCACGCCGACGTCGCCGATGCGTCGGCGATGCGGTGCGATCCTCCGACTCCATCCACTCGGACCCCATCTGGGAGGCCTCGACAGTCCACCCGCATAGTAAGGATGGGCAACATTCCCAAGGATACCCTTGCATCCTTGCCCCTTCGGCCCATCCCCAGCGACTCTCGCTGGCCGCGCCCCGCTCGCAAAGTGTCGACAGGGCCTTCAAAGGTCCTTGCATCATGGCATCCTTACCGCGCGTCCTTATGCCTCGGCTTTATAGTACTTTGTCAACTCAGGATGGAATAAAAAACACAGAGACAAAACTCATCGTCGACCCCGAGGAAACTTTTGGCACATGTGGGCAGTGGCAGGGGGGGAAGGCGAAAGTCCAGAAGATGTGGAAACAGATTGGGAATCCGGGGATTTGTGTATAGTTTTTTTTCAGGAGGTGAAAAAGAACGCAGACACAATTAATCGACGATCCCCCAGAAAATATGGGAAAGTGTGGGAAGTGGGGGGGCAAGACAAAAACCGAGAAAATCTTGGGAAGTATGGGTAATGATGTTATTCGTGCCGATGGATTTGCGTGTCCCAGGGCCCCTTCATCTTTGTGCTCCCCTGGGCCCCATCGGCGCCCAAGCCTTTCCCGGGCCGGTTTTTCCTCCTGAATTGTTTTCTGACGGTCCCGAGGCCCGGCGAGGGCCCCCGAGGCCAAACATGACCAAAAACCGCCCTTCCTGATGTTTCCACGACGCGATCCTGTCTGGGTGTATAGTTCTTTGTGCTCCCCCTGGGCCCCATCGGTGCCCCAATCAGGCTTCCCGAGGCGGCGCCCCGGCGGGGCCCAGGCTGCAGGCGCCGCAGGGCGGCGGCGCCTCCGCGGTGCAGGCGGGCGTTAGGTCGGGCCTGCCCCCCTACAGGGGGATCTTGGACGAAAAATACAAGATATTCCAAACATGTTCCAAAATCGCCGAAACATACATAAAAAAATATTCCCCTGACTTTTTTTTTGATTTTTTTTTTTTTTTTTTTTTTTTTTTTTTACTTTTTTTGCATCTCCCCCCTGTAGAGGGACACGCCCGACTCAAGGCTGGCGGCGGAGGACCGCTGGGCGCGGGCGGGGCGCTGCTGGGCGCGGCCGCCCGGGCCGTGCAGCCGGGCGCCGTGGCCAATCTGCTGGCGCAGCCCCTGCTGGGGACCTGCAAGGACCAGGCGATTCCAAACATTCAGGAGGGGAAAAAAACACACAGGCTCAATGAATCGTCGATTCCCCCGGGAAATATGGGAAAGTATGGGAAGTGGGGGGGAAGACGAAAGCCCAGAACATGTGGGAAACTATGGGGGAATTCGGTAGTTGGTGTCTATTTGTTTGCGTGTCCCAGTTCCCCTTCAAACATTGATCAAGGGTCAAGGACCAGGCGATCGCAAACATGGTCGGAAACTGGAGCATATACATTACCAGTGGCGGGTTGTTTTTTCAATCCCAGGACTTTTCTGAGGGTCGGGGACGACGTCGGGGTGGTGTGGTGTATACTTTTTGTTCCCCGTCTTCCTGGGGAAGCAACGAAAAATGTATACACCAGGATCCCGTATACACCAGGGTCCGCGTTCTTGTGCGAATTTCAGCGCAGGGTCGGAAACAGCGTCGGTGAAAAGAGTTCGTTTCCCTACATGGATCAAGGGCCAAGCCGTGGCGAAGCGTCTTGGCCCGCCTGGAGGCCTGGCAAATAATGTTCTAAGAACATTGGAGAGCATTCCTGGCGGTGACCGTCTTGGCTCAACACATCGGGTGTATCTCCTGAGAACATTGTTTTTGCTCTTAGCGCATACAGTCGGGGCGCTGAAGAAAGAACCCTTTCCGTTGGGGAGGGGCTCGATGTTCCTTGACTGTTGTGCAGTTTGCCTTGGGTTTCCCGAAGGTTTTCCATGGGGAATCGAAGATCAACTTTGGGGGAAAAGTGGCCTCGTTCCGTATCTAGGGTTCCTTAGGTCAGCGCCCCGACTGCATTTGGGTTCCAAGAACATGTCGTGATAGGCCTATAGGAATGCCGGGACGGTCGGTCCCTGCTCAGAAGGGGGCGTGGATTAGCGACGGGTCCCGTTTCTATCGGGAATCGCGGACTGGGGCAAGGAGCGAGGCGGCATTGGCCGCATTTTGGGGAGTGCACATCCCCCGATCCATGGATTTGGCGACCCCGCGCCAAATCCATGGATCGCTAATCCATGTTCGCGCGCCCCGAAAGGACGTGGCTCTCGCGGCCCACCCGGCGGATGTGATATTCGTCTTGCCATTGGACGACAAGGATCAGGGGACGGGGAGATAGGTTCAAGGTTACAGTTTCTCGGGCGGTTTCGTTTGTTCTCGCGGGCTTTGCCGCATCGGGATGCCTTCAGCGGCTGCGCCTCGCCGAGAGCGCTCCAGGGGTGCCCGGATCGTTCCGAACGGCCGCCGGAGACCCGAGTTATGGTCCGGAAGCCAAGGGACCACGCCTTGAGGGGGTAATGACCCAGCAGGGGGGAGGCTTCGACCCCCTGTCGCCCACTGATCGCCGACATGGGTCCGATGGCCCATCCTTCCCAGGAACGTGCGGTTTCGCCATCGGGGGCCTATCGCCGATCTATCGGCGATGCATCGCCGATTCAGCCTCGATGGTTCCCCCCCTCCCCCCGAGATGGTTCCCTAATCACGTGCCCCTCGAAGGATGAAAGCACGGTCGACGGAGAGGCCGTCTTGGTGCAGTGTTTCCAGAAGGGCGCCGAGCAGTATTTCCTTGGTACCGCCGAGGCGTGCCGCCAACCGAAGCCCATGTTGAAAGACGTGCGTGAAGCGTTTCAGAGGGACTTGCACACACTCCTGCCCAGCTGCGGCTTCTGTGTGAAAAGCTTCAAGTCCGTGGATGAGGATGAGCTCTTTCTGCGCGTAAATATCAGCAATCCTGAAGTGTCAGAGTTCTACGCGGCAAAGTTTAGCATGCGCTTGCAAACGACGAAGGAGCTTACCAAGGCTCTGGAGATCGATCAGCCCTGGGAGGACGTGTCCCCGGGCTTCGTAATCTATGACAAAGACTTCGTAGACCACCAGCAGCAAGTTTTAGGCTTGAGCAAGGACACCCTCTTTCGGATGTACTTTGGCACGAACGAAGCTGGCACGATATTCCGACAAGTTGACAGGATCAGGATCATATACAACGTAATGAACGATATGGTCGACTTGGATGGCTTGGCGAATTTTGGTCTTGTGGTCGCCCATTTTCCCGTACACATCGGGAAGTCTCTGTGCGAGTTCAAGTACGATTGGGCCAGCCTGTGGCCACGCCGCATGCTGGACCTATCAGTCTGGCAGCCCCTGGATCACATCAAAGACTATTTCGGCGAGCTGGTGGCCTTCTACTACGTCTGGGCCGGCTTTACTGTCAAGTTGTTCCTTCATTTGGGTGTTGTGGCGGTCGCCGTCGCGCTCTTCAACAATTTCAGCCCGCTGGATAAACAGATAACTAGGCTCATCAGCTACTCTGTTTTCGGGCTGTTCATGGTTGCTTGGAGCTCGTTCTACCAAGTCCTCTGGCAGAGGACAGAATATTGGTACCGTGCGAAGTGGGACATGCTTGACGCAGAGACCAGGAGCACAGTGCGCGCCGACTTCAAGGGCGAGCTGAGGCCGAGCCCCCTAGACTGCTCGAAAATGGAGCGTCAAGATGTCGGGCACAACAAGGCTCGATCCAGGCTTGCATCATCGTCCATTATGTTAGTGTTCTTCGTCACCATCGTGGCAAGTGTGAGCTTTGCTTATTCAGGTGCCTGTGGCAGACCCCGCCACAGTGCTAACGCAACATCACAGCAGGAGGGAGGTTGAGATGAAGACCAGCTCCAGCTGGGTTTTGTGAACCCGTTATCCATCTTTGCAACCACGTGTTCCTCTTCTCCATCCTTCTTCTCATCCCCCTCAGCTCCATTCTTTTCGCGTCGAAGATGTATGGGGAACTGGTTAGAGGGTGTCTTTTGGGCCAATCGAGGGTCTCTTGTGGCCCTCCTGCGGCGCGGCCTCTAGGTCGCGTGCTTGGGGCGCCCGTTTTAGACCCGCCAGAGGGTCTCAGGCCGTCTTCGGCGCGATGGTCCTCCCGACTTCTCCCGAAGAGGCTCGGTGGAAGCATCCGGGGGTTCTGTTGGTCCTCTTTGCAGCGGCAACATTGGGGAGGGAGAGGCTCGGGAGGCATCGACCCCCTATGGCCGATTGATCGTCGACGTGGGTCCGATAGCCCACTTCTCCCAGGAACGACAGGTGCCGCTGTGGGGGGCCTGTCGCAGATCCATCCGCGATGCATCGCCGATTCCAGCTCGATGTTCCCCCCCCTGGGCCGGTCCCCCCCTAACGGTCCCCCGCATCTTTGGGGACCTATCCTGGGAGTTCTGTTTGGGGCGGCCAGGGCCCTGTGGGGAGCCGAGGCGTCGCAGGCGGGTGCTGGACCGTCTCGTGGCGATTCGGGGGTGGTCGGGGGCCTCCTCCTCCGTTTCCTCCTCCTCCTCCTCCTCCTCCTCCTCCTCCTCCTCCTCCTCCTCCTCCTCCTCCTCCTGCGTCTTGGGCCGGCACGATCGCGCTGTGTGCGGCAAGAGCGGGGGCGCAGGGCGGCGGCGGCAGCTCTCCACTCCGCACAGGGCTCGGCGTCGGCGTCGCCGCGGGCGCTGTCCGTGGGAGGCGGCGGGGCCGCCTGCGCAGCCGCGGCCGCGGTCGGCCTGGGGCAGCCTCTGCCGATGGGGCATCTCGCGTTGGCCCAGTCGTCAGAGCCCCGAATCATCAGGGGTAACTCGGGTCAGGGAAAACTCGGGTTCCTTTTTCGGGAATCCAAACCCGAGTTACCCCGGACCCGAGTTACCCCGGATAACTCGGGCGCCCAGAGCCCCGAATCATCAGGGGTAACTCGGGTCAGGGCTAACTCGGGTTCCTTTTTCGGGAACCCAAACCCGAGTTACCCCGGACCCGAGTTACCCCGGATAACTCGGGCGCCCAAAGTCGTTTGTTCATCAGTTGGCCCAGTCGTTTTGTTCGCCGAGGTTGCCTCCTTGGGGGGGTCTGGATCGTCTCGTCTTGGCACGTCCTGGGGGGGGCTACTCTTTGAGGGAGGTCGCCCCAGACGGGGGGGGGTCTAGAATGGCTCGTCTGGGAGGTTTGTGACCCCCCCCTTTATTGTAAAAGTTGGAGTGCCCGTTTTCGCCGTGCGTGCCCACACCGGTTGGGATGCAGCTCCTTGGAGGTCAAATTCTGATTTCGCCCTGGTCCGGAATCCCGTCCGGCTTAATCCCGCTTAATCCCGTTCAATCCGGCTTAATCCCGTTTCATCCCGCTTAATCCGGCTTGATTCCGCTTGATCCGGGGCCCACTCTGGCGGAACAGCCCCCCAATGGGGCTTAATCCTCCTTATTCCTTCTGGCGATCACCTCCCAGCAGTTGCCTCCTAACATCGGGCGTGTCCATCTTCCGGCTCGGGTGACCACCGACACCGATCACAACGATCACGATCACAACGATCGCAACGATGACGACGACCGTTGTGATCGTTGCTATTGTGATCGCTGTCATCGTCATGGCTATCGGGGGGCAGGACCTCTGTTGCACGCGGCTGGTTTCGGCCCCGTCGCCCGGCTTCTCTCCTCGATGCATACACGTACACTGGCGCTCTCAGAGTCGGGAGGCGCACGAGAAGGCAGCTGCTTGAGCTTGTTCACTACCCCCTGCATTACTAAGTAGCCCTCCCTTCCGTCCGGCCCGACCTCTCGCAATGCTGCGATGAGGGGAGGCGGGCAAATTGCAGAAACTCCACGGGACAGTTCACAGGCATTCCCTCGCGCCCCAGACTTGCCGAGGAAACGGTGGCGGATTGGCTTCGCGACCCTTTGATCCGCCGTTTCGGCGAGCAGCGAGGTGTCAGTTATCAGGGGTATTACATGGGCGTTCAGATTCAGATCATCAACACCGCCTGGGGCTGGATTGCCCCCTGGCTGGTTCACCTGGAAAACCCACGCACCGATCTCGAGTATCAGAAGAGCCTGGTCTGGAAGCAGTTTTTAATCCAGTCGTTCAACTCGTACAATGCCTTTATCTACACCGCATTTGCTCAGAGGTATCTCGATGGGAATTGCCCTCACGACGATTGCTTAGACTTGCTCTCCGAGATGCTTTACGGGACGATGAAATCTCTTGCGATCATGAGTTTCGTCTCAAACGCTATCGGTTATTTTCAGGTTGTTTGGGCTATGCGTCAAGAGGAGGCAGAGCTTGCGAGAAAGCAGAAGGCTGACTTGGCTGGCGGTTTTGCTGCTGGTGCACAAGCTCTCTTGGATCGAACTGGCATCAGCCGTTCCTTCATGGAGAAGCAAGGGAAGATGAGCCAATACACCATTGATGACCAAGTTGCCGACTACGTAGAGTTAGTGATCATCATCGGCTACGTGCCACTGTTCTGCGTTGCTGCTCCGGGCAGTGCCATCCTCGCTCTTCTCGTCGTCACCGTGCTGCTCCGCTGCAAGGCATGGAAATTGTGCAGCGTGATCCGGCGGCCGTTCCCGGCTGCTGCCGACGGCATTGGCGATTGGAATACAGTAATCTCCCTTCTGTCTTGGGCAGGTGTTTTGTCATCGGTCGCGATCCCGCTGGTGAACTTGAAATATCTGGACCATTTGAGCGTTCCCCAGAAGCTCCTCCTCTTCTTCGTCATCGAGCATATCCTGGTGGCCGTCCGGCTCGTCGTGAACTGGTGCCTGCCCACGGAGAGCCAGGGGGCAGACCTGATGCTGAAGCGGCGGAGGCTCGTGGCCGACGTGCTCATGAAGGGCGGGAAGGGGCACAGAGGCTCCCACGACGGCGATGGGGGCACAAGCAATGACAGAAATAAAGATTCGCACTGCCGCGTGGATGTCTTGGATCGGCGCTGGTACCCCCTCCCTGGCGCGCGGAGGTGCAGCCAGAGGCGCCGCGGGGAGGGGCTCCAGCGCCGATCCGAGAAGCCCGCGCGAGCCTCCGAAAGTTCTTTTGTTTGTGCCTTTAGCTGTTCCCCGAGGCATGCCCCCCGGCCTGCGCTCTGAGCCGCCGGCGCCGTTCCACCTCGCGAGGTGCCTCACCAGCGTCAGCGACGAGTGGCAGTTCGTGGAGAAGGATCGGCGCGTCACCCCAACATACTAATACTATGTGTGCGTCGCCCCCCCCCCCCAGGGGCGACGCGCGTACCGAGCAGTCTTGCAGTACGTTGTGGCGGGCGCTTTCTGGCCACACCGCTCGGGAAGAAGGATATACGACAAGATAGGTATACTGATGTTCGGGTCGGACGCGCGCCTCCAAGGAGGACATGTATAGTACCAGTATGTCTCTGTGCGTCCCAAAGGAGGCCGACGTCCGCCGTGCCGCCGAGGCGGCCGTACTCCGCTCGAACCGGGACGACTGCGTCTGAGCTGGCGCAGTGCGGCGCACGCGCTCTGGAGGACGTGAGCCCCCGCCCTGAGGCGGGCCCGGCCAGCGGAGTCTGCCGTCCGTGCTTCGCCCGAAGCGGGCCAGCGGTATTGTTTTTTCTAGGTTCCCCCAGGTTGGATGCTCGTTTGGGGGGACCTTCCTGGGGCCCACATGACGGATCTGTTGGACCCTAGTTCGGTTCAAGTTCGACTCTCAAGGTCGAATCAAGTTCTATTCAGGTTCGACTCAGGCTCGACTCAGGGTCGGCTCAAATCGACGGGCGCTCGACGCAGCTTCGACGCGCGAGTGGAGCGAGTGTCTCCAGGACGGTCCCCAGAGTGAGCATCCAGGATTCCTTGGATCTGCGCTGGGGCCCCGTGGCTCCGCGCGCCAGGCGCGGGGGGTCCGGCGCAGTTCCGGAGAGGAAGTCCTGGCGGACCTCCGAGAGCGTATGCTTTTGTGTAGTTCTCGGGGGCCCCCAAGCGGGGTGGTGACCACACCGTGCGGTGAGTCGATGGGGATTCTCAGAGGAGGAAAAAGTACCCAAACCTCTACCCTTTCCTCGTTTTCCCCCTTTTGGGCCTCCTCGGAGGCCCTCGTCGCCACCGCTGGATTCGCCTGGAAATCCTGGTCAGAACGCGCCCCGGGAGAGGTCCGGGGAGTAGTGGTATCGGTACCTTTTGGTTCCCCCAGATTCGGGGTCGCCGCACGGTTTTGGGACCTGGGTCGTTCTCCGAGGATTGGGACATCCGAGGTCCCAAGACCGTGCGTGGACGGACCGTGCGATGAGGTCTTGGAGGATTTCGGGGTTGCCGCACGGTCTGTCACCGCACCGTTTCGGGACTCGAACAGTTTCTCTCCTTCGAGTGGAGGACAGAGAGCCTCTCTAAGACGGGCCCGGCGGGCTGAGTCGCAGCGTGTCACCCTTTCGGTTAAGTCTGGCCTGTCACTCTACAGGGGGAATATTCAAAAATAGTCAGAAAATATTGTGGGGACCATTCTTATAGCATTTCTTTACAATTTTGGAGCATGTTTTTTTAACATCCGTTCAAAACTTCCCTTTGTAGGAGGATAGGCCCGACTTAACCCTTCGGCGAGGTGCGCCCTCCAGGCTGTCAAGCAAGCGGGTGCTGGCGCACCAGGCGGTCGGTGCGAGCGAGACCAGCTGGGGCCTGCCCAGCGTTCTGCACTATTGCGGCCGCGGCTGCGGCCGCATTTTCAGCACTTTCTGTGGCGTTCTTGGTAGCAAGCTTCGGGCGGGGCATTTCCGACATGATGAGCCTGAAGCAGATCGATACCCCTTTGATTGGCATCGCCTTGTTTCGATGCCGGCCGTAAGGATTCCCTCGAGTTTTGATGGCGCATCCTTAAAATTGTCATCGCTTTTGGTCTCGTCAATTTTAGGGATAGGAATAATCTCGAGGCTGGTTATAGCACCATTTTGGCTTGCGCGGCAGCCAGATCATTCAGCACTCGGCACTCGTGCTTTTATATATCTGAAGGGCTGCGCCCTCTTGCCTCTGCTCCCACCCCTCAGGCTGTGCCCTCGTGTTGGGGAAGGATACGTATACACATTGAGACAACAGTCAAACTGCAAAGCAAGGATGAGCAATTTTCCAAGGTTACCTTTGGATGCAACTCCTGGGAGGTCAAGTTCTGACTTCGCCCTGGTCCTAAATCCGGCTTGATCAGGTTTAGTCCTGCTTAATCCGCTTCAATCACGCTGAATCTGATTGAATCCTGCTAAATCCGCGGCCTTCTCCGGCGGAACAGCCCCCAAATTGGTTTAAACCTCCTGAGTCGCTCCGACGAGGACCTCCCAGCAATTGCTTCCGAAGTTACCCTCGCATCCTTCCCCTCCGGCCCATCCTTGGCTGCTTTCGCCGGCTGCACCCCCTTCGCAAGGAGTCGACATGGCTTTCCAAGTCCCTTGCATCCTTACCGTGCGTCCTCATCAATCGGGTTGGCTGTACACGCTCATGCGCGCTGACCCGAGGGAGTAGAGCTTAGAGGCAGTCATTGGCGAGCTGTCCCGTCCCGTACGCGGTTGTTCTGGTCGTTTCGTCTGGGCATCGTCATACTTCAAAGCATGGGCTCCCAGCGGAGTTCTCCCCCTTTTTGCCACAGGGCTTCTTTTTCAATTGTCCATCAAATCGTAAGCTTTGCAATCCCATCGGTGATTGCAATCCCATCAGTCACCCCTATAAAACATATTATTGCGTGAGCCTGCGCATGCTGTGTATAACTGTACACTGTACTCATAGTAGTACACAGACATGTACCTATGTATATACATGTATACATAAATGTGTGTATGGCGATATGCAAATATGTGCACAGCTCGTCGCACGTGTATACCCTTTTGTATGATTGACTGTCGGACCGACGTTATACTCTTGCTTCATTCGCAAATGAGGCTTCTGCTCAAGACTTCCCGACGATGTGCCCCCCCCCCCCCGGGATTGCTCGAGTGTTGCGGGGTCCCCATGGAGAGAGGGGTCCCGCTCGAGATTTCCTCGCGATTTACTCGCAGAGGTTCCCGCTCGAGACATCCCCACCAAACCTGTGTTTTACATTGTATTCGATGGCCGCCTCGGATTGCCATCAAGAGATCTGGACCCCACAGGGAGGGTTTCCCGCTCGAGACCTCCCCGTGGTTCATCCACAGACGAGTGAGCGCCCGAGATTCCTTCCCAGCTTGCTCAGGAACGCGTCTCCCGCTCGAGTCCCCCTCGGGATCCAGGCTCCCAAGTGTCAGCGCACCTTGGCGTTTACACGGTATTCCGGTGGCCACATCGATTTGCAAACGTGAGGTGGGGACCTCGAGTGGAGGGGTTCCCGCTTGAGACATCCGCGCGATTAGCTTCAGGAGAAAGGTGGGTTCGAGACTTCCTTTAGATGAGTTTGCGAGTGTGTGTGTGTGTGTGTGCGTGTGTGATTGGATGAATGCGTGGGACGATGATGCGGATCATGATGATAATGGAGCCTCCTGGGGCCTGTCGGGGGCGCTTGGTAGTCTCTTGACCGTCTCGGAGGCCATTGAGACCCTACAGCAATCGAAGTCTTGTTCGTGTCCCCGCCCCTCTTGGGCGTATTTTCTAGGATGTTTTTTGTTGCGAGGCGTTAAACTTTGGACTGCGAAGCAATTCGAAGAAGACAACATGGCATACAAACAGAAAGTTTGGCGCTCCGCGCGGATTTGTTGGATCCGCGCTGGCCCCCCCCCTGGCGCCGCCCATTGCGCGCTCTGCGCGCCAGAGGGCGGGGTCCAGCACAGATGCAACGAAAAAATCTGCGCGGAGTGCTAAACGTCAATCTCTATGGCGCTCTCTGTTCTTCTAACATGCACGCGACAAGCGCCAATGGGTGTGCGGCGGGCCTCAAGAGCGCCCGGGGGCGCCCGGTATTCGGGGCTGTGGTCTCCTAGAGAGCATTGCCAGATCCATAACGGAGAACTCGAAGGCCCTGGGGATGTTCTATTTCTAGCCTCGGGGCACGATGGCGGCCATGCTAAAAGGGAGCATATCAGTGTATACAAACAGGTGTCTGTATGTATATACATTTACACGCCGACATACGTACATGCATGCTCGCACGCACGCATGCATGGCCGACACACATGCGTGCATATACATGGATACAGACATGCATGCACACATACACACATACTTGCATACACACATACATACATACATACATACCTACATGCATGCATGCATGCATGCATACATACATACACACACATACATACATACATACATACATACATACATACATACATACATACATACATACATACATACATACATACATACATACATACATACATACATACATACATTCATTGATGTACACATACATGCATGCGCAAAAACATACACACACATATACGCTCATGCGTATATACATATAACGGCGCACCGGGTCCGGGGGCCCGGGGCCGGGACCTCGACTACAAATGTGGGCTCCGGGGGGCCCGGAGGCTCGTCGGGGCTTGCCGGAGGCCTCCCCGGTCAGACAAGACGGCCCCAGGAGCGCCCAAGACGGCCCAAGAAACTTCCAAGAGGCCTCCAAGAGGGCTCCGAGATGCTGAAGATGGCCTCCAGACGTCCAAGGACGCCCCCAAGAGGCCCCAAGAAGCCTCCAACATGCGTCCCAAGAGGGCCCCTAGACGCAAAAATTGGCCCATTCCCTTCGTAAAACGTACATTTTCAACAAAGTTGTCTTTTGGGCTTTCCGACGTTACAGGACGGCCCGAGAGGCGCCCAAGACCGCCCCAAGACGGCCCAAGAAGCTTCCCAAGAGGGCCCCAGGACAGCCCAAGAGGGCCCCAAGACGGCCCAAGAGGCGCCCAAGATGGCCCAAGAGGGCCCCAAGACGGGCCCAAGAGGGGGCCCAGAGGGGGACCACGAACCGCAAGCTCGAGCCTTCCGCCCCAAGAGGCCGCCAGGAGGCCCCCAGGAGGCCCCTCAAGAGGCCCCAGGAGACCCCAGACGTCCAAGGACGCCCCCAAGAGGCCCCAAGAAGCCTCCAACATGCGTCCCAAGAGGGCCCCTAGACGCAAAAAATTGCCCATTCCCGCCGTAAAACGTACATTTTCAACAAAGTCGTTTTTTGGACTTTCCGACGTTACAGGACGGCCCAAGTGGCGCCCAAGACCGCCCCAAGACGGCCCAAGAAGCTTCCCAGAGGGCCCCAGGACAGCCCAAGAGGGCCCCAAGACGGCCCAAGAGGCGCCCAAGATGGCCCAAGAGGGCCCCAAGACGGGCCCAAGAGGGGGCCCAGAGGGGGACCACGAACCGCAAGCTCGAGCCTTCCGCCCCAAGAGGCCGCCAGGAGGCCCCCAGGAGGCCCCTCAAGAGGCCCCAGGAGACCCCAGACGTCCAAGGACGCCCCCAAGAGGCCCCAAGAAGCCTCCAACATGCGTCCCAAGAGGGCCCCTAGACGCAAAATTTGGCCCATTCCCTTCGTAAAACGTACATTTTCAACAAAGTTGCCTTTTGGGCTTTCCGACGTTACAGGACGGCCCAAGAGGCGCCCAAGACCGCCCCAAGACGGCCCAAGAAGCTTCCAAGAGGGCCCCAGGACAGCCCAAGAGGGCCCCAAGACGGCCCAAGAGGCGCCCAAGATGGCCCAAGAGGGCCCCAAGACGGGCCCAAGAGGGGGCCCAGAGGGGGACCACGAACCGCAAGCTCGAGCCTTCCGCCCCAAGAGGCCGCCAGGAGGCCCCCAGGAGGCCCCTCAAGAGGCCCCAGGAGACCCCAGACGTCCAAGGACGCCCCCAAGAGGCCCCAAGAAGCCTCCAACATGCGTCCCAAGAGGGCCCCTAGACGCAAAAATTGGCCCATTCCCTTCGTAAAACGTACATTTTCAACAAAGTTGTCTTTTGGGCTTTCCGACGTTACAGGACGGCCCAAGAGGCGCCCAAGACCGCCCCAAGACGGCCCAAGAAGCTTCCAAGAGGGCCCCAGGACAGCCCAAGAGGGCCCCAAGACGGCCCAAGAGGCGCCCAAGATGGCCCAAGAGGGCCCCAAGACGGGCCCAAGAGGGGGCCCAGAGGGGGACCACGAACCGCAAGCTCGAGCCTTCCGCCCCAAGAGGCCGCCAGGAGGCCGCCCGGAGGCCCCTCAAGAGGCCCCAGGAGACCCCAGACGTCCAAGGACGCCCCCAAGCCGCCCCAAGAAGCCTCCAACATGCGTCCCAAGAGGGCCCCTAGACGCAAAAATTTGCCCATTCCCTTTGTAAAACGTACATTTTTCACAAAGTCGCCTTTTGGGCTTTCCGACGTTACAGGACGGCCCAAGAGGCGCCCAAGACCGCCCCAAGACGTCCCAAGAAGCTTCCAAGAGGGCCCCAGGACAGCCCAAGAGGGCCCCAAGACGGCCCAAGAGGCGCCCAAGATGGCCCAAGAGGGCCCCAAGACGGGCCCAAGAGGGGGCCCAGAGGGGGACCACGAACCGCAAGCTCGAGCCTTCCGCCCCAAGAGGCCGCCAGGAGGCCCCCAGGAGGCCCCTCAAGAGGCCCCAGGAGACCCCAGACGTCCAAGGACGCCCCCAAGAGGCCCCAAGAAGCCTCCAACATGCGTCCCAAGAGGGCCCCTAGACGCAAAAATTGGCCCATTCCCTTCGTAAAACGTACATTTTTCACAAAGTTGTCTTTTGGGCTTTCCGACGTTACAGCACGGCCCAAGAGGCGCCCAAGACCGCCCCAAGACGGCCCAAGAAGCTTCCAAGAGGGCCCCAGGACAGCCCAAGAGGGCCCCAAGACGGCCCAAGAGGCGCCCAAGATGGCCCAAGAGGGCCCCAAGACGGGCCCAAGAGGGGGCCCAGAGGGGGACC